GTAGAAATTCTCGTCTCTTTCGCCCCTTCAACTCTCCAGATCATGGTCGAGGATACTCTTTCCTTGGGTTTCATCCTCAATACCTGCAAGCATTCCTTAAATTCGAGGGATCTCCCGCTGTATCTCTTCTTGGGTAAGCTCGGGCAAGTATCTTCTTTGTGGAATGATTAGGGTTTGTAGTGGGAAGTGAAAAAATGTGTATGAGACTAATTGGGAGTATATAAACTTAATTTAGGGTTGTTGATTTTGAAAATCCGTAAAGAGAATTTAGGTTTAGGTCAAATTTGGGTATGGTTTGGTGGTTGTTAGGCATTTTTTTTTTTGGTAGAGGTGGCTTGGGTAGGGTCAGATGCTAAGAAACCCTAAGACAGGACTAGTGTTTGGCTAGCTCTGATACCAAATGATATTGATGTTAACTCAAACCACAACAGAAACAGAAATATTATTGTTGAATTCAAATATGGTTAAAATGATAATTCTTCAAACAGAAAATAAATTATAACAAACATAAAACGATACAAACAAACACCACTAAAGGGTAGTGAAGGTCAGCTAGGTGGATTAGGATGGCTGACGGGGGTGGCAGCAATAAAGAAATGCTACTAGCAGCGAGGGGAAGGTTCGAAAATGTAAGGACAAAGAGTATAGAAGCTGTACTGGGTAATGGCAGCAAGAAACTGTACTGGGTAATGGCAGCAAGAAGCTGAGGTGGATAGCGACGAGGTAGCAGAAAGGAGGTGTTGCCCCGCTGTCTGGGTAATCTAGCTCTCATTGTTTGTTGGCACGACGCCTGCTATATGGATTGCTCTTCTCTGGACAATATCATTCCATTGTTCTTCCAATGTTTTCTTTTGAAATCACATTGCGTATCAGCAAGGACAATTTTTTATCTTACCAACATGAATTAAATTCACTACTAAGTTATGGAGGTGTTAGCAGTCCTTCATATTATGCACAAGATATTTATTACCAAAGAAATATTTTGGTGAATCTTAGACACGAGGGCCTGCTAGCATTTATGTTAATCAAAGGAAGTAATCTTTATCACAAATAACATCCATGATTTCTACAAATGAGACAAATACTAAAAGTAAAATATTGTCGAGGTTGTGACGACCTCTCCCATTTTCCTTAGAAAATCTCACATTTTATCTTGTTCCTTAGATCGTAAGTTGTACAATTCAGAGGCCATTGTCGATAATGTTGCAGTATTTAATAATGCGGCTTCTCAACAAGCTAGCCCTGATTATTAAGAGGTGATTTTGTTGGTTCTTGAGAAATCATCGCAAGCTCCTTACTGAACCATGGTCATGTTGCTGAGACAGATTCTGTAATTACATTGTTATACTCCACCTTAATTTGACTGTTAGCAAGTTCAGCAACTTGTACTACATTCTCGAATGCTACAGATCAAGTGCATATCTAAATGGCCTTTCTAGACCATATGGAATCAAATGAGCCACATGTAAGCATTTTTTATTCCAAATCTTAGCCTTCAAATATTATGCGTTGAAAAACGATTCTATGATGAGTGACTCGCATGTGAATTTTTCAATAAGTTTGAGCTATTGAAGAATTGAGTCACAAGTTATCGCATGAACTAAGAGAAAAAAGAAATGAAGAACCGCCTTAGTGGTGTCTCCTTGAAAGTGGCGAAGCATAATTGACACTTGAGTGCGTCATTGATATTTAGAATAAAATCAAAAACTCAAGGGAAGAGATGCGGTCGACTAGTTTTGAGTTCCCACTGTGGATTTGCTAAGAGAATTAAAAACTTGCATCAATATAGGGTTAGGCAAATCCAAAGAGTTATTGCACTAAGATCTATTGCATGAACGAAACTTCAAATTATTTTGCATACTATGTAATCAAGAATTTAAACTGAAGATGCTGGAAGAATATTGCCACATGAAAAGAATATCAAACGTATTAGCAGAGTAATCCTTAGTTCAACTTTTTTTTTTCATTCGGAGGAATAAATAAAGCATCAACAACAAGATAACAAGTGCCACACACCAGAAACACACAAATTTAGAGCTTTTCAAAGTACTGCACCATAAGAGAAAACTTCACTGATGAGAACTATATAAAGGAATCATTCAAAATCATTGTAATCAATCTCTCTTTGAATTTTAAGACGAGCAGAACTTGCTCAAACCCTCTTCCAATGGAACCCAAGTAGCCCTTACCTTTATCCCAATCGTGCTCATGCACAAGCTCCCATTTTGAATGAAATGAATCTACAGGAGCTTCAAACTCTTCCTTTACGCGTTCAAACATGTTTGGCCCTTTAACCTTATCAAATGGTGTAACTCATCAACATCATCACTCATACCATTAATTTCATTATGGTGTGTCTTCTCTCCATGCATGACTGCTTCAATCTCTTCCTTCACCCTCTCTAGCAAATTAGGAGCTTTCACATCTCTTTCTACAATGAATCAAAATCATAGGAATAACTTCTTTAAAGTCTTCAACAAAGTATGCAAACACAAACAAGCCTGCAATGGCATGATATGATAACAATACTTCTTTTGCCTGCTCCCACATACAAATATGTATTCATCAGGTTGGGAACATTGGAGTAATGGTGGTGGTGAAAGAAATGCTTTGAGTTAAGCAAATGCTTAATCACATTCAGTTGTCCACTAAAAAGATCTAACACTCCTACAAATTTTAACAAAAGATGAACATTTATCTCCCAACTTTCAAATAAAACGACTAAGTCCTGTGACTCGTTATAAAGTTCCCTAGTCATCTTAGAAGGTGACGGCCGCAGAATCATCTTTATTTTTATCTGACTTCTATTTGATGCACATAGGAGCAAATAAGAAACCAATAAATTTACTAAAACAGCTCCAAATGTACACTTAAGAAGATTGAGATCTGTTATAGTCTTAGTAAGGATGTTATCAAACAATAAAAAATGAAAAAATAAAAATAATAATAAAATCTTGTCAAATTGGTGGTTGACGACAGACGTCATGATGAAAAATTTATCACTATAGGGATTGGTTTGTTGGATGTTCATAATAGGAGAAGATAATTGGCATTGCCGCTACAAAAGAGCATAAAAGTCGAAGCATCATGTACCTATCTCAATTGAAATCACTTCAGGCTTGCTTGTCTTGATGCTTCCATTCAAGCTTTCCCATTTTTTGCCGACACAACTCCTGCTATATGGATTGTTCGTATCACGTAATACTCATTTTGTTATTTATCCATTGGTTTCTTCTAAGGTCATCACAATGGATTTGCAAGGGAATTTCTTTCAGCATAACAACAAAAATGAACTAATCTAAGCAGTTGTGGACGTGGCGGTAGTCTCCTCTATATTATGCTTATGATCTTTATGGCAACTGAAATATTTTGACAAATCATAGACATGAGTTCCTATTAGCATCGGTGTTCGTCAATGGAAATAATCTTCACTGAAAATAGCATCCATGATTTGAACAAGTGAAACATAAATAAAAGCTTATGGGATAATTTTACAATAAAATTTTATAAAAATACAAGGTTTTGGCAAAGCTGGCATTAAATCCAAAAAACAAGAAAGGCAGGAAAAGAGATGTGACAAGAGAAGAAAAATCTAGTAAACTAAATAAGAAAATATAAAATATAGGAGAAAATTTTAAACTAAAATAATAGAAGAAGCCAAAAACATTCACTCTAGCTATGATCTTCTGACCTATAGATAGATAGATAGATATAAGGATCTAACGTTTTGAGCATTATATAAAAAAATACTCTATAATGAGCTATACATTTAATAAATACAAGATAATGTAAAAAAAGGAGACAAATGCCTTGAGTATAAACTCAAACTCGAACCAATAGTCAGCTGTATAAAGGAGTAGATAGTTCTCCTTAGATTGTGGACTAAGTAGCTTCTTCAGGGTTCAGGCATATGCGACAACTTGTGTTGGATCAATCCGGATGAGTTTGGTGATGACTTTGGACGATTTCTTCCTTGAGCCTAATCCTCTCCTTAGTCAACATGTAAGTCCAGCTAGTCCAATAGGGAGATGGCTCAAACCTAGTTGGGTGAGTCCCGATTCGACCCAGCTGTTGAGTCATCTTGAACCCGATGTAGTTAGTTTATCTTGATATCGGTTGAACCCAGCTTGTATACAGTTAGCGATACCTCTCCCATCTCTCATTGTCATAAATTCTCACATTTTTCTCTTGCTAAATTGGAGAGAAAATTGTGATTCTCATATCATTGTTAATAATGTTGATGTCTTTGATATTGCAGCTTCTCGACAAGCTTGTCCTAATTATAGTAATGTTGATTTTCAACATCCTAAAAAAGTCATTGCAAGTTTCTTAGAGGATCATAATCGCATTGCCAAGAGGATGATGTTGTAAATACACGATTATACTCCTCAGTGTCAGTTAGATTACTGACAAGTTCAAGCAACTTGTCTAACATTCTTCAATGCTACAGATCAGTTGCATATATAAATGGGTTTTCGCAAGGATATTCATTCAATGGGGCTTGGGTGAGCTATTGTTGGATTATAATCTTTACATTCTAACATTTCATGTTGGTAATGGACTATGAAGTTTCAGAGTGAATCGCCCTACTCTTTTTTTTTATATTTTAAAAATATTTGAATTCCTCATTGACTTTTACGCGCTGGTGAAGTAAGTCACAAACTCTCACATCAACTCAAAGTAAATTAAGGAAATACTACCTAGTGCGAGACCAAAGAGCCACCTCAACGGTGCCTCGTTGAAAGTGGTAAAACTTAATCATCACCTGAGTGCACTCTTTATATTGAGGAAAGAAGTCAAAAACTCAAAATACGTGACACTGTTGACAAGCTATGACTTCCCTTTTTGGGAGTCGAAGGGAATAAAAGATTTCTATAGTGGATTAAGCAAATCCATGAAGTTATTACACAAACAACCTTCGAATGAAAAAGGAGCCAAAGTACATTGCATAACAAGTAATTCACGTGCTGGAAGAATATTTCCACTTGAAAAGAATATCATAGATAACTGCAAAGCAAACATTAGTTTAATTAAAGTTTTCTTTATCATTCCAAGCAATAAATAAAGCATAAATACACCAAGAAACACGCAAATTCAGAGCTTTTCAAAGTAGCACGTTTAAGGAAAATCACCATTGATGATAACTATATAAAGTATTCATTCAAAACCTCTGCAATCAATTTCTCCTTTCATTTGAGGGCGAGCAGAACTTCGCAAAATCTCTACCAATAGAACCCTAACAGCCCGTACCTTTCTCTCCATCATGCTCGTGCCCATGATCCTTCTTCGAATGAATAGAATCTACAATTGCCTCAAACTCTTCCTTTGCGCGTTCAAACAAGTTTGGTCCTTTAACATTATCTATTGGTGTATTCTCACAAATGTCATCACCCATACCATGAGTTTCCTTATGGTGCTTCTTCTCTCTATGCATGACTGCTTCAATCTCTTCCTTCAACCTCGCCAGCAAATTAGGAGCTTTCACGTGTCTCTCTACAATAAATTAAATGAATGAATCTATAAAGTTCATCAATAAAGTACGCAAACCCAGACAATCAAACAATGGAATAATATAATTCCAAGACTTAAATCATTGCCTAGATCAAGCACATCCTTCTATGAACCGATATTGCTCCATGAAGAACTCCAAAATGTCGCTATGAGAGCAAATACGTCTATATAAATCCACACAATATCTAGAAATCTCAAAAAACTAATTGATCGCTTCGAGCAGAAAAAATGCACAACAGGCGGATCTTACCATCTCATCTATTTGGATGAAATTCCGGCTAACAAGTGGAAAGAAAAAAAAAATATATATGAATGAAAATATTTTTTTCACCAATGAAAATGTACAAATGCCTAGAAATCATCGAAATTACCTTCTTTCCATTCTTCCATTTCTGGGATTATTTTTAAGGGGGGAACTTCACCCGACATTGGAAGCTTAAGAAGATGAGAACAGAAAGATTCGCAAAAGCGACGCCCGAGGCAACACGGGCAGCACGGCCCACTATCAAATCGTTTCAGCGCCTTGTAAGCTAAGTCTTGCTTTACCCTCGAAGTAGTACTTAAAATTTTGAATATTACGGCGAAAATGCCTTTTATACATATGATTTTTTTATGTATTTACAAATTTTAATTTTATATACTTATGTATATAATTTTTAAATTTGATTAAAATTAAAAATTGAGATCAAAGTATATTTTTATTTTAATTTTTTTTGTATCACTTAAATTTATAATATTATATAAAAAATAAAGTCAAGTATTAAATATATAAATATTTTAAAAAATTAGGGAGATTTACATACAAGCCACTCAATACATCCTGAGCTCTACATTTAGGGCCCGTTTGGGGCAGCTAATGCGGCAGCGTTTTCGAAACGTCGCCGTCCCGTTTGAATTATGTTTGGTTTAACGTTTTGGTGCCGCGGCGTTTGAATATCGTTATTTCCTGAATATCGTGATTTCCTTAATATCTTCGCAATCCAGACTCTCCTCGCATCTCGCGTATGATTATCGCGTTTAGGGTAAAAATTCCTGTGATGCCCTTCCCATATCTCCCTTGCCCTCGCCCTTTCAAGGAGAATCGATTCTCTGCTCTTTCACTTTGACGAAGATCGGCGCACATATAGTATATATTTTTGACCTCACACTCCTGACCTACCCGATATCCCTCTCCTTCCTTCTCGGAAGTATGTATTGGACCATAGCAGTACTTCCTATTCCTATGATCGTTTGAAATGAACTATTGCAATTTTATGCTTCGGAATGTTGGATTTTCAAATATGATGGGGTTATTTGAGAGAATATAAGCTTTCCTGTGGCATTTTTACATACTTATGACCATGTTCCTGTGATCAGAGTTCATGCCTGGGAATTTTGGAGTTACGATATTAAAACGTTGAAATGTTGGGAAACAAATTTCTGCTTGTAATGATGGGGGCATGTTGAAATGCTGGAATGCTTGGAAAAATTTTCATTTCTCGTGATCGGTTGAAATGAAAAATGGTGGATTTACATACCTTCCACTGTATGTAGTTACATTTCAATTCCTATGCTCATTTTAATTGTGCATTTATATACAGAACACATTATATCCTTTCCCTCTTTATTTAGATAATTTATAATTGCCCGTTTACGAACAGGAACTGTAATTCCTTAATGATGGAATTTGCATTAGTAATGAGTGCTTTACCATAAATACAGTACGGTGGAATTTGCATTAGTTGAATGCTATCTCATTTCTATCTTAAAATATAAATGGGCATTTACAAACATACAAAACACACAATTCTCTTTATTATTTTAAGTGCAAGTATCATAAATGTTGAGTACATATCACTCAACTAGTTTGGAGAACATGGAAAGTAGAACATGGAAAGTTGAATTCAGTTGAATTCCTATCCTTCAACTTTATTAGTATGATAAATGTTGAGTACATATCACTCAACTAGTTTGGAGAACATGGAAAGTTGAATTCATATCCTTCAACTTTATTCAAATGCTTTGTGAAGTGGGTGACATACAAAGGTGTACTAAAAGGCTCATTTCCACTTCTCATTCTAATTCAATTTTCTAATTGTTAATAATTGGGGGAGGACTTCTTAAATGCACAGTGCAAGCTATTTGTAGTAATGGTGTTGAGCATAACATGGAAAGTTGAGCACAGTGCAAGCTATCTGTACTAATCTGTAGGTTTTGAGCATATTGGTGATAGTATTGGTTGTGGCAGTGGGAATGGTAATGGTAGTGTTAATGGTAATGGTGTTAGCATAGTGCAAGCTATATGTTGTTATGGTGTTGAGCATAGTGCATGCTATCTCTGGAATGGGATTCGTTATCTTTTTTTTTTTTATCCATGAGAGAATTCTGTCTTTGAGGCTTAAAAATGAAATTCTATTTTTAGGAGAGCTAATGTTGTTGAGCCTAATGTAATCTATCTATTGTTTCATTCTCCACACATTTCAATACAAATAGAAATTTTTAATTTATACATATTACGAGAGCATTTTTATTTACTGCATCATTAATCTGAATGGTAGCTATATATATGCTTGGTTTTTCTTAATGCACATATTATATAGGGAATTTTAGTTGGATTTCCTATTTTGAATGACAATGGTAAGGGGTTGAGCAGTTGTTTTTAATCATTTATGTTGTTCTATCATATTATATTGCTTTGCTTCCTTGGAACAATTCAATTATTTACAATTTGGTTCCTTGATAAGCTGAAACAGCTTTCAGGGGTAGCTTGATCATTCAGTGATATGAAGAGGAGCAATAGCATTCATTAGTATGTTCTAGATACTACATTTTTTTTTAAACGGTACTTCAGGTTGACATGAACAATGCAGAAACTGATGAAAATGTTATGCTGAATTTGTAAAAAGGCAATTGATAGATGATAAAAAAGATAGGCATGGATTTATTTTTGATAGTAGGTCTTCAATTAAATATATAGCAAGTCATCAACTGCTTTTCCTTATAGGCAAAACCATACATATTAGTTTTTTTGAATAATGCTAAGACATGGCAGAATTTTTGTTCCCTTAATATTTCAGTTGCAATTGAACAGGTTGACCCGTAAATGGTGAATTGTTAGCTTTATGCATATGATCTTGCTTTCAGATTTGCATATGATCTTGCTTTTCACTTTGACTTTCTCTAAGCATGTAAATGGAGAGATTTCATGGCATGTATTCATAAGTTTGGAACTGTGGCGTGTCTCTATTTGTACTTCAGTTGGACATGATAAATAATTAGCTTTATGCTTCTGCAATTACTTGTTCAATCATTCCCTTATGTGTGTTAACTTCGAATATGATCTTCTTTATTCTTCTATAATTCTTCATACAGTTCCAACATGACTAAAACAAATGATGGTGGTCCTTCAGCTATGTGGGATAAGGAGATTACAAAAAAATTTTTCAATCTCTGTATTACAGAAATTAAAATCAGTAATAGGCCAACCACATATTTCAACAAGAAGGTTGGCAAAATATTGCCAAAAGGTTCAAGAAATTGACAGGAAGGGATTATGACATGCTCCAATTAAAAAATAAATGGGATCAATTGAAGAAGGAGGAAAAATTTTGGAAAGAGCTCAAACGTAGATCTACCAGTTTGGGTTGGGATCCCATTAAGCGGACAATCGATGCTCCAAGATCAATGGTGGACTAACAAATTGGAGGCAATATTTATACTCAAATTTTTATTTACATAAATTATTTTTTTTTCTAATAAAGACACTTAACCCCCTCCTTCATTACAATGTCACAGGCAATGCCATCAGTGAAGAAATATAAACTATGTGGAATTGAGCCGGACTTCAAGGAAAAACTCGAGATAATGTTTAAAGGGGTTGTCACGACGAGAAAGCTTGTATTCAACTCTAGTGAGATGGGGTTTGCAGGCATACCAAATGACTTCCCACCTGAGTCACTGACAGCTAATGAAGAAGTGCATAATATTAACCAAAGGGAAATAGGGGAGTCCAGTTCACATTCAAAGAGGCCTAGACTTGGTAGGAGGAAGAAAGAAAAGGTTGTTTTTGTGAAAACGTCATTTGATCGACTCATATATGCTTTTGGTGCTCCACCATCTGCTCCAATTTATGACAACGCCATGTTAGAATGTCTAGAAACTTTAGCATCTCTTTTTAAAGTAGTTGCAGACAGATGCTTTCATGCAAAGTGTGTGAAAAAACTAGAACATCCAACCAGTATGCAAATATTCATGGCACTTGTTTTGGTGGATGAATGACTTATTTTTTATGTGTTGTTATTTGTGGTTTTTTTGTGTTATGGACTTCTAAATGAGAAATTTAAATAAGTTTCCCCTTGTATGGATCCTTTTTTAGTGCACTTCTAAGTGATTCATGCTTATCAATATGTTGATCTTTGTACATTTTTATTTTAAAGGGTTCATGTTTTCTTTGCACTATTAAGTGATTCATGTTTTCGTTGCTTACTTCTACGTTGATCTTTTTCCTTTAGGATGGATCTGCAGCATGAACAACGTAAAAGAATGGCATGGACTATAGCTATTGCAATATTGTTGCTAGAGTATTACCAATCCAACAGTGTTCATATACCCCGTATGACGTCCAATTTTTTTGAGGATAAATGTGTTGGTGAGATGCTTTCTAGACATCCAATAAGGTTCAACAACATATTTCGAATGACAGTACCTATTTTTATGGATCTCCTGCATGAGTTATCTTTGAATCACAGCCTTCAAGGTTCTTCCAGAATGACGAAAAGGGAGGTGTTGGCTATAACATTATACATTCTATCACAAAACAAATCAATCAGAGGTGCTGTGAAGAGATATCAGTTTTCTTAAGAAACAATAAGTTGTTACTTCTCCAAAGGCATACAGTCACTAGTTCGTTTGGCAGCTGAAATCATTAAGTTAGAGGATCCAACATTTTGTTAGTACTCGAGGACAAATTGCCAATGATCACCGTTACATGCCTCTTTTTAAAGTAATTATTGGTTTCTTTACGTTACCACCAAAATATAAATATTTTCTAACGCATATGAAATAGAATTGTTGCATTTGATGGTACTCATGTTGATACCCAACTACCTAGCAAGGATAAGGTGGCGTACATTGGTCCTAATGGCTCAACAACACAAAATGTCATAGTGGTATGTGACTTCAATAAGTGTTTCACTTTTTGATGGTGGGCTGGGAAGGGAGTGCACATGATAGTTGGATTTTCTCTTATGCAACTAAGAATAGATCACAGTTTCTTACTCACCCGCCTTCAGGTATGATTTAATTGGTAAACGTAGTAGTTATATCTTTTTATTTGTTGTTAACAACATCTTCCATAATAGGAAAATACTATTTGGTTGATGTTGGATATTATATGCAGAGAGGCTACCTGAAGCCATATCCATACACTATATATTATAATCTTGATTTTGAGTGAGCAAGTGGCACCATCCATGGTAGGAAATAAATATTTAACAAACGTCACTTCTCTTTACGCGGGTTAATTGAAAGGATGTTTGGG